ACGTTAAACTTCCAGACAATGACGAACTTCCGGGAGCAAAAGTACCGTTTACAACAAAAGAAATACTCAGCTCTAAGGTAATCAGAGGCTAAAGGCAACCATAAGTACTCATCTCACTAAGTTATCGGCATCACTAATGAGTAATTACAGGCAGCCCTATCTTTCACGCTTTTATCCCCCCCCCCCCTTTCCCCATGAAATTCCACTTTTCCCTCTTTTTCCTCCTGACAGTTCCAGCTAGTACCAAACACACCTATGCTTAGAATGCCTGGAACAGCTACTGAATAGTATTCCTGTTTTTCACCTACGCAGCTGGCAACTTTTCACTGAGTATAACTTTGTGTTTCCCGCAAATATACATTATTCCAAACATGCGGCTTAATGGACCGAAACATTCCAATTCAGTTTTTATTTTTACTTTTAATTAATACCATTTTTTGTTACAACCTTTTCCATAACCATAAAATATTCAAAATATACGTTAGTGAATCAGTTAAACGTACCCAAGCACCAGACATATCAAAATAATTTTAATACCACCTAAAAATCAGTTTTTTCCGCGAACAAACCAAAAAAGAAGAAAAAAAGTCAAGCAGAAAAAAAGAAACAAAACACTACCTGTCAATGTTTCTCTCATCCACAGTTTTGTATCGTTTTGCCTGATATGGACAACTTTCTCGTTGGTGCCTTTCTAAATTCCATTCCGATGAATACGATTTCCCACAGGCCTGAAAATATATATATATTAAAGTGGCAACAAACAGTTTCGCTCATAATTAATGCTTTTTTTTTCAAATACACTTGTAACGTTTATCAACAAATATACAGCCAGCTGTGCTGATAATCAAAGGGAAATAGCTTATCAGCAAACGGCATATAACAAGGACGTACATGACTCTTAGTCGCCTCCGAAGAGATGGTGCGCATTCACAAAACAGGCAGTTGGTACTAACTGAAGGTATGCAGACTACTGGATCGAAAGAACTGCCAACAGTTGTGCCCGACGTGTGGTTATATCCTTTTAACATTGAGCTGCTATACTGACCGCAGGGGCGAACAACGACATTTTTAATTTACCAACAGAAATTGACCTGTTTTCCCCACAGCACTTAACCCAACACTCAAAATGTAATGAAAAATAGTCTCATGACCCGTTCCAAGTGTGCTACGATGCTTATTGTACAATATAGTCGCAATTTTGTACTCGGATATATTCAATTTCATTATGCACAAAACGCTGAAGTTATTTACTAAGACCAGTAAGACTGTCTTCCGGTCTATTCAGTTTCAGGTAGCCCATGCTACTGATGCTACTTCGATGCTCCCA